AATTTATCTGTGAAGAAGGAGTAATCCTTTCTTTTTCTCAAAATTCTTAAAGGTATTTCTTTTAAAATAATCACCTTTTTACCTGCAACACTCAGTCCCTCATTATAATGTTTTTTCAAAATTTGTTCTCTTGTAACCTTCCATACGAAATAAATCTATTGGCTTACTTTCAATAAAACTTTAAAACCTCAGCTGGTACTTTCGTGTCTGATCTTCTGCCGGACCGAATCCTAATTGGGAAGAGTCAGAGACTCTCAAATTTTGCTAACAGTGCAGCAACATCTAGTAGAAAAGTATACCTACAAATCAGGACAACCTTTTTATGCAGCATTTATTGATTTTAGGTCAGCTTTCGACACAGTATCTAGAACTAAACTATGGCATAAATTAAAAAATACCACAACTGACAAATGTGCACTCATGCTGCTCATTAAAATATATGAGAATACAAGATTGAAGATCAGGTGCAGTAATCAAGGACATGTTACAAAGGAAATACCTGTGAGGAGGGGAGTCAGACAGGGATGTGTATTGGCTCCAGTTTTATTCAATTACAGGTAGTCCTCGCTTTATGACTGTTCATTCAGCAACCATTTGAAATTACAGGTAGTCCTCACCTAACAACCCCAATTGGGGCCAGAATATAAGTTGTTGAGCGAATTTTAGGTAAAGTTGTAGCTGTCTCAGTCTCATCCAGAGACCTGCCAGATGTATGGTAAAATCTCTAATCCCTATCCCAGCTTTGCCCCCTTCTTATCACAGACAACACGGTGCTTCTGGGTGGGAAAAGCTGCTATAGTACAGTTACATAAGTCTAAATCAGTATTTCTTAAACTTTTCACTCTCAGGACCCTTTCCCATTTTTAAAAAGGACCCCCAAAGAGCTTTTGTTTGTGTGGGTTATATTTATCAATATTTACCATTTAAAAATTAAAACTGAAACATTTGTAAAATATTTATTTAATCATGTAAAAACAATATTAAATCCATTAGATATTAACACAAATACAACATATTTCATGAAAAAACTCTATATTTTTTAACAAAAAATTAGAAGAGTGACATTGCTTTAAATTTTTGCAAGTGCCTTCAATATCTGGCAAATAATTTTGATTTCGCGGACCCCTGAGAGGGTCTTGGAGTCTCCCAGGGGTCCTTGTGGGGGCCACATGGTTGAATATTGTTAGAGTGCATATTTACTCGAGCGTACTAATAAAGATCTTGCGGTTAAGTTTCAAGAGGATGTGGTTTTGCGCAGCAGGTGTCTGACAGTAGATGGAAAGTTGTTGAACTCTGAAAAGGGGAAGAGGACTGGTTTTGAGATATCCAGAAACCATTGAGTGACCTTGTTGTAAGACCACCTCCATGTAATCTAAAGCTAATTAAACATAGTAAAACGCACACCCCTAAGGTGGAAATTTTAGAAAACATAGGACATGCCAAGCTTATTATGGGATGATAGTATGTAACCGATCATGTTTTTTACATGCCTACTTCCCTATTTTTGAAAAGTATAAAGACTGATGTAAAGCTTTACCTGAGGTTCCTCTCCTTGGAGAGACGGGGCCCTTTTTGCCGAAGCGCTTCAATAAAAATAAAAGGATTCCCCGACTTGGCACATGTGTGCCACGTAGACCAGTGTTGTCCAAACTTAGCCACTTTAAGATGAGTGGACTTCAACTCCCAGAATTC